AGGTAGAATTGTCATTTTTATTATATTAGCTCGGCCTACCCATGAGCAACTGATATTTTTCCAATTATTTAGATCTGACTTTATTTGTGTGAGAAGTGTTTTGTGATTGTGTTCATATAGTTCCTGAGTTTGTTTTCGCAGGTAGACTCCTAAATATTTTATAATATTTACAGTAGCTTTAAATGGAATTTCTCTTTCTATCTCTTGCTGTTGGGCTTTATTAGTAATATATAGAAATGCCAATGACTTATGTGGGTTTATTTTATATCCTGCAACTTTGCTAAATTTGTTTATTATTTCAAGTAATTTTTTACTTGATTCTCTAGGATTCTGTAAGTATACCATCATATCATCTGCAAAGAGTGATAGCTTTGTTTCTTCGTGGCTTATTCTAATTCCTTCAATTTCTTTTTCTTCTCTTATTGCTAAAGTTAACATTTCCAGTACAATATTGAATAACAATGGTGATAATGGACATCCTTGTTTCACTCTTGATCTTATTGAAAATGCTTCTAGCTTATCCCCATCACATATAGTACTTGCTGATGGTTTTAGATAGATGCTGCCTATCATTTTACAAAAGACTCCATTTATTCCTGTGCTCTCTAGTGTTTTTAATAGGAATGGGTGTTGTATTTTGTCAAATGCTTTTTCTGCATCTATTGAGATAATCATATGATTTCTGTTAGTTTTGTTGTTCATATGGTCAATTATGTTGATAGTTTTCCTAATATTGAACCAGCCCTGCATTCCTGGTATAAATCCTACCTGGTCTTAGTGCATTATCCTTGAGATTAGTTGCTGTAATCTCTTTGCAAATATTTTATTTAAAATTTTTGCATCTATATTCGTTAGGGAAATTAGTCTATAATTTTCTTTCTCCGTTTTGGCTCTTCCTGGTTTAGGTATCAGCACCATATTTGTATCATAAAAAGAATTTGGTAGGACTCCGCCTGTTTTCCCAAATAGTTTCTATAGTATTGGAATTAATTGTTCTTTAAATGTTTGATAGAATTCACTTGTAAATCCATTTGGCCCTGGAGATTTTTTCTTAGGGACTTCATTGTTCAATTTCTTTTTCTGAAATGGAGTTATTTAAGTATTTTACTTCCTCTTCTGTTAATCGGGGCAATTTATGTTTTTGTAAATATTCATCCATTTCACTAATTGCCAAATTTATTGACATACAGTTGGGCAAAATAGCTCCTAATTATTGTTTTAATTTCTTCTTCATTGGTGGTGGATTCACTCTTTTCATTTTTGATACTGGTAATTTGGTTTTCTTCTTTCTTTTTTTTAAAGTCAAATTAGCCAAAGGTTTATCTATTTTATTGGTTCTTTTCCTAAAACCAGCTCTTGGTTTTATTTATTAGTTCAATAGTTTTCTTAATTTCAATTTTATTAATCTCTCCTTTGGTTTTCAGAATTTCTAATTTGGTATTTAATTGGGGATTTTCAAGTTGTTCTTTTTCTAGCTTTTTCAGTTGCATGTCCAATTCATTGATTTCTTCTTTCTCTATTTTGTTTATATAAGCATTTAGAGATATAAAACTTCCCCTAAGGACCACTTTTACTGCATCCCATAAGTTTTGGGATGTTGTCTCATTATTGTCTTTCTCTTGGATGAAGTTGTTGATTGTTTCTATGATTTGTTGTTTGACCCACTCATTCTTTAGGATTAGATTGTTTAGTTTCCAATTAATTTTAGTCTATCTTTCCGTGGTCCTTTATTACATGTAATTTTTATTGCATCATAGTCTGAAAAGGATGCATTTAATATTTTTGCCTTTCTGCATTGAATTGTGAGGTTTTTATGCCCTAGTACATGGTCAATTTTTGTGTAGGTGCTATGTAACACCAAGAAAACAGTATATTCCTTTCTATCCCCATTCAATTCTCTCCAGAGGTCTACTATATCTAACTTTTCTAAAATTCTATTCATCTCTTTAACTTTTTTCTTGTTTATTTTGTGGTTAGATGTATCTAGTTCTGAAGGTGCGGGGTTGAGGTCTCTAACTAGTATAGTTTGGTTATCTATTTCTTCCTGTAACTCCCTTTAACTTCTGCTCTAAGAATTTGGATGCTATACCACTTGGTGCATATATGTTTAGTAATGATATAACTTCATTGTCTATGATACCTTTTAGCAGGATGTAATTTCTTTCCTTATCTCTTTTAATCAGATCCATTTTTGCTTTTGCTTTGTCTGAGATCAGGATTGCTACCCCTGCTTTTTTTTTTTTTTTACTTCAGCTGAAGCATAATATACTCTACTCCATCCTTTTACCTTTACCCTGTGTGTATCCCTCTGCTTCAAATACATTTCTTGTAAACAACATATTGTAAGATTATGGTTCTTAATCCACTCTGCTATCTGCTTCCATTTTATGGGAGAGTTCATCCCATTCATATTCAGAGTTATGATTACTATCTGTGTCTTTCTCTCCAACCTATTTTTTCCCCTGTTTATGCTTTTCTCTCTCCTTTCTCCCTTTCCTTCCTCACTAGAATTCTGCTTTCAACCACTGCCTCCCTCAGTCTGCCCTCCCTTCTATTAGCCCACTCCTTTTTCTTCACCTTTACCCTTACTACTTCTTCCCTCCTTCTTTTCTTTTCCCTTTCCCCTCCTACTTCCTATAGGGTAAGTTAGATTTCTATACTTGTGTGTGATATTCCCTCTTTGAACCAAATCTGATGATAGTAAGGTTCAAACAATGCTCATCTCCCTCCCTTTTTTCCTTCTACTGTAATAGGCTTTTGTGTCTTTTCATGTGATGTAATTTACCCTTGTCTGCCTCCTCCTTTCTTCTTCTCCCAGTACAATTCCTTTTCACCACTTAATTAGATTTTTTTATCATCACATCAAAGTCAACTTATACCCATGTCCTCTGTCTATGTATACCCATTTTAAATGTCATGATAACAATACAGTTCTTAAGAGTTACAAGTGTCATCTTCCCTTGTAGGGATATAAACAGTTTGCTTTTATTAATAACATGTTTTTTTCTTTCCTGTTTACCTTTTTATGCCTCTCTTGAGTCTTGTGTTTGAAGATCACATTTTCTGTTGAGCTCTGGTCTTTTCATCAAGAAGGTTTGGAAGTCCCCCATTTGATTGACCATCTCTTCCCCTGAAAGATTATGCTCAATTTCACTGGGTAGTTGATCCTTGGTTGTAATCCAGACTCCTTTGCCTTACAGAATACTGTATTCCATGCCCTCTGATCTTTTAATGTAGAACCTGCAAGGTCCTGCATAATTCTGACTATGGTTCCATGATATTTAAATTGTTTCTTTCTGGCTGCTTGCAATATTTTCTCTTTGACCTGGTAATTTTGGAATTTGGCTACAATATTCCTTGGTGTTTGATTTGGGATCTCTTCAGGAGGTGATCAGTGGATTCTTTGAATGATTATTTTACCCTCTGGTTTTAGGACCTCGGGGCAATTTTCATTTATGATTTCCTGAAAGATGCTGTCTAGACTCTTTGTTTCATCGTGGTTTTCAGGTAAACCAATAATTTTTAAATGATCTCTCCTGGATCTATTTTCCAGGTCAGTTGTTTTACCAATGAGGTATTTTATCTTCTCTTCTATTTTTTCATTCTTTTGTTTCTGTTTGACTGATTGTTGGTGTCTCATAGAGTCATTAGCTTCCACTTGCCCAGTTCTAATTTTTAACGTATGGTTTTCTTCTTTTAGATTTTTCCTTTTGGCCCATTTTGCTTTTTAAGGAGTTCTCTTCAGTGAGTTTTTGTGCCCCCCATTCCATTTGACCAATTCTACTTTTTAAGGAGTTGTTTTCTTCAGTGCACTTTTTTTTCCCATTTGACCAATTGTATTTTTAAGGACTTGTTTTCTATAGTTAATTTTGGTTCTTCCTTTCCCAAACTACTGACTTTCTCTTGCATACCTCTCATTTCTTTTCCCAACTTTTCTTCTACCTCTCTTATCTGACTTTTTAAATCCTTCTTGAGCTCTACCAAGGGGGCTTTTTGGACTGGAGACCAGTCCGTAGTCCTCTCGGAGGTTTTGGATGTGGGTATATTGACAATGTGGTCCTCTTCTGAATTTGTGCCTTGATCTTCCCTGTCCCCATAATAAGAATCTATTAATTAAGAATCTGAGGCCAGGCAAGCACTGCACCACCTAGCTGCCCCACAGAAGCACAGATTTAGAGAGGGAAGGGCATGGAGACACCATCCAGGCCACATTTCTCAATTGACAAGTGAGGAAACTGAGGCTCCAAAAAATGAAGGGACTTGCCAGGATCCCACAGCTCGTGGTGTCTGAGTTGGGATTTGAACCTTTCCTGATTCCCAGTTGTTTTAACCGCTAGCCCACCCTGCCTCCTCTGACTCCAGAGCCAGGCCTCCTTCCAGGGCACTGTAGTTCTTGAGTCTATGATCCTGGGGGGAGCAAGGAGTAGGCAATAAGGCTGGACAAGCAGGTCAGAGGAAAGCCTTGAATGCCAGACCAAATCTGAACTGTATCCCTTAGTCAAGAGGAGAGCCTCTGGAGACATTTGGGGGAACAGCAGGAACGTGGTCAGAGATGGGCATTGGAAAGATGAATGTGACGGTTTGTGGGAGGGAGGGGTGGCGGGACAGGGCAGAGGGACTGGCAGAAAGGCAAGGTCTGATCAGAGAGGCACACATACAGCTGAAGCTGCAAGGAGCTTTGGAGGCCATAAAGTCCTACCCCTCCCACTTTACAGATAAGAAAACCGAGCTCACAAGGAGAAGTGACTTGCCCAAGGTCATCCCCAGCATAATCCCCAGAGCCAGGAAAGAATGACCTTGGGTAGTGGTTATGGGAAAGGAAAGGAGTGGGAGGGTTTGAGAGAAGTTTCAGTGGCTGCAGAATGTCCAGGGCTTGGGGACCAGGAGGGTGTGGGCTGACAGGCATGGGAAGGACGCCTGGCCCTGCAGCAGAGGCAGCCCAGACACCCCCGGGGTCCTGGAGTGGACGTAAGCCTTATGCTCGTCTCCCTTTCTCCCAGGGGCCCAGATGGTCATCACAGACATGACGCCCCCAGCAGATCGCCCTGCAGCCCTGGGGAAGCTGGGCCTGTGCTTTGGAATAGGAATCATCCTGGGCTCCTTGCTTGGTGGAACACTGAACAGCAAGTTTGGGTGAGTGACCAGCTGCCTGCTGGCTTGGACCTTATGCCTATGTCTGGTGAGGAGGGAGCAAAATCTGGGAGAAGGTCGTCTCTGCTGGGCTCCTGGGGGATGAAGCTAGGCAGGAGCTGCGAGCAAAGGGGGCCGGGCACATGCTTGTGATTACATACACCAGTGAGGGAATACTCAACAGGTGGGCCTTGCTTAGATGGAGGCAGGGTGGCAGAGCAGGCAAAATGCGACCCTGGAGTCAGGAAGACCCGTCAGATGATAGTGGGCTGGTCACGTTTCTCTGTGCCTCAGTTTCCCCCTCTGTAAGCGAGGGTGATACCTGTAATGCCTGACAGGGCCATGGGGTGAGGGTGGAGGGAAGATAAATGAGATGATGGATGCAATGCCGTGGCAGACCCAAGACCCTTAGTGAAGGTCACTGATGGTCATCGATGTTGGTAGATGGACTTGAGGATAAAAGGGCCACAGCCTAGCCCCAAGGACTTAATGGGGAACCTTGTGGAGCTCTGGGGCCACACCAGAGGAGATGCTTAGCTTATTTCTGGATGGGGAGTGAAGGGCAGAGAGCATTATGGAAGGGGATAGAGCCTGGGGAAAGATCAAGAGGTCAAGCTTCTCTTCCCAGCTATGCCTCATGCTAGCCTTTCAACCCTTTACTTCTCTCGGCCTCAGTTTCCCTGTTCTCGCCCTTCTCATAGGCTTCTTGTGCCCAGAGTGAGGTTTTTGTAAATGGGAAAGCTCTGGACAAGCCGAAGTAAGTGGTGGACCTGAGGTCAGAGACTTTGATTCCTCAGTGACCTTGGGCAACCAGGCTCTCTTCCCTGTTCTTCAGTTTACCCAGCTATAAAATTAGGAGTTCGGCTCCCTTCAGGCTTTGAATTGCTCCTTGCTGTGCGTGGGCATTTGTGGAAGGCGGGGTGGGCATCCAAGGTGGGGGGGGGGGGGGGGGGGGGGCGGCTGAGCCTGCAATGACACTGTCTGCCAGCAGAGGGAGAAGCCAGCCACCCTTGAAAAGAGAAGATTGACGTGCAAACAGCCATACTTTTTTTTTCCTGGTACTTTCTTTTAGTATTATTATTATTATTAGTTTATTTTGATTTATCTACACTCACTTCCATAAGCTTTTGAGTTTTAAATTTTTCTCCTTCTTCCTCCCCACCTCCCTCCCCAAGATGGTGCACAATCTGATATAGGCTATACATATACATTCCTATTAAACATATTTTCACGTGAGTCATGTTGTAAGGAAGAATTAGAACCAATAGGAGGAACCACCAGAAAGAGGAAACAAAACAAAACAGAAGAAAAAAATAGCAAAGAGTATTCTTCTATCTGCTTTCAAACTCCATAGTTCTTTCTCTGGATGTGGACGGCATTTTCCATCATGAGGTCTTTGGAGATGTCTTAGATCCCTGAATTGCTGAGAAGGGCTGAGTCTATCAATATAAGTCATCACACAATGTGACCATTAACCGCGTACAATGTTCTCCTGGTTCTGCTCACATCACTCAGCATCAGACCATACAAGTCTTTCCAGGTTTTTCTGAAATCTGCCTGCTCATCATTTCTTATAGCACAATAGTATTCCATTACACTCATATACCACAACTTGTGCAGCCATTCCCCAATTGATGGGCATCCTCTCAATTTCCAATTCTTTGCCACCACAAAAAGAGCTGCTATAAATGTTTTTGCACATGTGGGTCCTTTTCCCATTTGTATGATCTCTTTAGGATATGGCCCTAGAAGTGCTATTGCTGGGTCAAAGGGTATGCACATTTTTATAGCTCTTTGGGCATAGTTCCAAATTGCTCCCCAAAATGGTTGGATCATTTCACAACTCCACCAACGATGCATTAGTGTTCCAATTTTCCCACATCTTCTCCAACATTTGTCATTTTCCTGTTTTATCATGTTGACCAATCTGATAGGTGTGATGTGGTATCTCAGAATTGTTTTGATTTGCATTTCTCTAATCAATAGTGATTTAGAGCATTTTTATATGACTATAGATGGTTTTAATTTCTTCATCTGAAAACTGCCTACTCATATCCTTTGACCATTTATCAATTGGGGAATGATTTGTATTCTTTTAAATTTGACTTAATTCTCTACATATTTTAGAAATGAGGTTGAGCTGTACTTTCCATGGGTATATGTGAGCCTGCACTGACCTCAGCCCTGGGCTGGGCCCAGAAACAGGCAGGTGGCAGGTCAGCCTGGCTGCCTAGGCCAGTCCAGGTCAGGGCACAGGACCAGGTGCCCCACTCTCCCCATCATCCAGGGAAGATTCTGAGGGGCTACAGACACCCAAGAAGCCAGAGGACTCTACCCAGTTCTCAGGAGTCAGGCCAGGCCAGATGAGATGGGAGGGAACTCTAAACCTGGGCCTCATCTCCGAAGGAAGTCCCAAAGCCAGAGGACTCACTGACTCCAGAGAGAACCGTCCCCAAGCCCTGGTCTCCCCTTTCACACCCATGCCCTGCCCAGGCCTCCCAACACTGCCCACAACCAAGTTTTTGGTCAGTGCCCAGTGCTTCTGGAGATCAGGGAGGCTGGTTTTGTGCCACAGACAGGAGGTCACCAAAAGCCCCTCAGAACAAGCAGTGCATATACTTACTTTGCTCAAAGTGTTTCTTTTTCTCCAAAAAATGCTGGGTTTTCCTCTTCCATGATTTCAATGTTTCCTCCAACCCAACAAGTATATGTTAAGTCTATGCCAGAAAGACCTGGGTTCAGGTGCAACTTATCTAAGCAAATCATTTCACTTCTCCCTAAATCAGCCAGCAGGTATTTATCAAGGCTTACTCAGTGCCGGGCACTGTCCTCGGAGCTAGGGATAGAAAGACGAAAGACTCTCCCAGCTCTAAGGATTTGTATTGGCAAAGACAATGTTCCACAGTTCCCTACACCGTCCCAACCAAAAAGTAAGTCCCTGTGCTCACACTTCATGCTGAGGAACAGGAGGCAAAAGTGGGATAGTGCCTGCCCTCCAAGAGCTTGCATTCTGCTGGGAGGGCACAACACAATCACCCAGAAGCAGCTCCTTGATGAGTGGAGGAGGAGGAGGCAGAGAAAGAGGAAGAGGACGAGGAGGAGGAGGAGGAGGAGAAAGCAGCAGCGACGGTAGCATCAGGAAAAGCTTCCTGTGGGAGGCAGGGCCGGAGCTGAGAGGGAAGGAGTCTGGGATTCTAAGAGATCAGAAGGGATGGCATTCCAAGCAGGTGGCTCAGCCCATGCAAGGGCTCAGACGGGAGGCTGAATGCCAAGTTCAGGAGTAGTTAGTAGCCTGGGCTGGCTAGAACTTAGACTACATTGAGTAAAAGTAATAAGCTTTGAGCCTGGAAAATTAGGCTGGTGAGGGGCTTTGTCTCAGGGCCAGAATTGAATCCCAATGCCAGAATCCAGAATCTTCTCTCCTCAGGAGTGTCCCTGCAGACTCCCAGAAAGGAGGGCAAAAGCCCTGGCTTTAGGGCCCACCTGTGCCTCATTTTTCTCACCGGTAAAATCAGGATAATGTTATATCCCAGACCTCAGAGGGGTGTTTGACCAAAGGGTTTTGTAAATGGTAAAGTGTAATAGAGAAATGAGCTGTGTGGCCATGGATGAAATTACCTCCCCTCTCTATGTCTCAGTTTCCCCACATTTAAACTGGGTTTAACACCCGCAAGGTTGTCGTCTGTACTTCTCAAGTCTTTTGTGATACTCAGATGAAACACTGTGTGTGAAAGTGCTTTGCCATGTATAACCTATAACAGATTGCCTGCTGTCTGAGGAAGGGGAGAGGGGAGGGAGGAAGAGAGAAAAATTGGGAACTCAAAATCTTATAAAAAATGAATGTTGAAAAAAAAGAAAGTGCTTCGTAAATTGTGAGCACATTGCTGTTTGTTGTGGCATCTCCACTGCCCTGCCCCCCGCAGGGCTTCCCTGGGGTTGGGGAGAAGTGTCCCTTGACACTTGAAGGGTGGGTGATAAGCACTGGAGCTCTCGCTGATCCCCCTAAGCTGGGAAGGCTGACCCAGAACCAGTCTCACTTAGGGGAGGAGGCCGATTACCTAATTAGGGGTTAAATTTTTCAACCATAAGTCGTAAAGGGAGAGAATCTGGCCTGGGGTAGATTGAGAAGAGACTACATGTTCTTTGGATTCCAAAAGCCAGATGGAGTCTCCTGTGAACAAAAACGGCAGAGGAGGCGCTCCACAGGCTGTCCACCAGATGGCACTAGACTGTCCCCGGGTTGCTTGGCCCAGACCTATTTCACAGATTTCTTAATGACTTGGGATAATGCACAGGACAGGCTTATCCAACATGCAGAGGGTCCTGGCTCCCCCTCAAGCCCTATGGTTGGAGCGTTACGGCGCCACTTGGCTAAGCAAGTCCCAGCTCTATCAAATACTAACTATGAGATTGTGGTTAAGCCTTCCGTGAGCCTCTGTTTCCTTCTTTGTAAGATGGAGATAAAATGGCCTGCACTTCCTGCCTCACATGCTATTTATGAAGTCCAAATTCAATCACATATATAAAGAACCTGAATTCAAATCCTGTGTCTGTCACTCTGAGACCTTGGGCGGTTCACTTAACCTCTGGAGGCCTAAGTTCGAGTCAGGGCTCTGGGTGAAATGACTTCGGAGGTCCCTGTGTGTGGTCACATGATGATAGGAATATCCGTTTCAGTGGGAATGTCCAGGGTTGTATTGGAAAGGGTCCTGGTGCTGGCATGGGCGCTTACCCACTGTGCCACTATAGGCCAAACATTCCGCCTCTCTGATCCTCAGTTTTGTCATCTGGACTATGGGGATGGAGATCTTCGCACTGTCCCCTTCTCAAAGCTGGGCTTTGTAAGGTGTGATCTAGGACATCACCGTCACCTTTGATGTTCCCCTTCTGGGTCTTCCTCATCCGTGGAGCTCAGACAGATCTGATGTCAAATTCTGACCATTTGAGCATGTCTTTCTAAGTATTCAGTAGATGCTAAATGTTTGCACCCTGCAGTACTTCTT